ATTCATAAAAGTTAAGCAAAGGTACATCACGATATACATTATGGTGTGCAGTAGAAATTAAGTTACAATTAAGTGAGGAGAGCGATTATGGAGCCACCAGTAATGTTGTTACGGTTATTAGCAGTATAGCTTAATCTTAAAACATAAAAAAAAAGTCGATAATCAGCAAGCTGACAAAAATGTCAATTTATCTTTTTTACGAAGGAAGATGTTTATTTGTAATCACAGTGGAATGAGCTCATTTATCTTATGTTTGTGTATACTAATATTTGACTCATATTTTGGTAAAGAGAATTATTGGTTTTGACACTTCTTTAAAGAGAAGGAGAGTTCTGCTGATCTTTCTTATATACATGTAATGAACCCACATGTTGACAAATTCAGGGTGGTCATGTACTAAATGTATCGATTTTATCATTTACAAGAATATTTTCACTGTTGTTGAATGAATTTAACGCCTATTCGGCATAGTAAAGCCATCATCCAGAAATCAGGCGGGAAAATTTCTGACTGCGACAATTGACAGTTTGACAGTCGATAACCAGTATTTACACCTTCATTCAATGTGCGTTTCAGCTCCCGTAAAAGACTTTTCTAAACAAGTCCATTTATACACAGCATGAGCCTCATCAACGACTTCCCATGGGCCGTTACTGTACCAGTATGGAAGTATTAGATGATTTAATGTTTTTTGGTATAAATATCGTATTTTTGTACAGTCATGGCCGAGAGTCAATACCATAGCACAAACATTAATCAAGTAAATAAAATTTGCTGCGAACTCTGAAGCCCATGTTAATTAATCCCATGCTTAGTCAGTTAATTATATGAACATATATTTTATTAAAAAATGCAATTTAATTTTCATGCCATTACCTAGACCTCCTAGTGCAAACCGATTGCACATCACATCTGAGACATATTTTCTACGAGTGTTTTAACGAAGAGTTAATTGTCTCAAGAATGTAGTCTGTTTTGTGGTGAAATAAAACAAGTTATGAACGAGGGTGTTGATAGTTTCCGTGAAACAAAGTACAGTTTTACAATGGTCGACAAATATATTCAATACGTTGAAAATTTTGTAAGTTGTACTATGTTTCAGCAACTGTTCAAGTGAAGTGTTTATTGTGCTAAAAAAAACACACAAAAAAACACAAATTCTTAATGAATGGTCGTGAAACAATGTTAAGATAAAGACTTTTTACATCTCTTATTATTTTTTTCTATGAAGAATTATAAATCTTATGAATAAGTGCATAATATAGAAGTATATATAATTCAATTTTAGGTGTGGGTTACTGTTAACAAGGTGACAAGTGACTAAGCATCTTACAATACTATTCGAAAAGAAATATTTACTAAACTTTCAGTAACTTTAACACTAAAAAGCAGATGTTCATTGAGCCAACACAAAGATCAGCCTGTCCTACTATGATTTTTTTTATACTGGGCATTAAAAAAAAAACCTTGAACATCTGCATTAAAAAATCGGTACTAATCAACAAAAGTAACGATACGTAAGCTTGAACTCAGATTTATCGTAAGATATAATTCTTAGCAAATATATGAAAAACGCTTAAATTATTCAACGAATAATATTCATTTGCTAGGCAAATGCATATGCATATGCTTCAGAAAATTTTATCAATTGAGTTGGAAAGTGAGAAAATACTGTGTTAAATTTTGAACACAGCGGTTAATACAAAAATAAGAAGATGCGGTATGATTGCCAATGAGACAACTCTCCACCAGAAATGTTTATTTGGCTGAAAATGATGAAAAAACTGGCACTTCGAAGATGAAAATTTAGTATCCATTTATCTGGAAAGGCATTCACTTTTTATTCAATTTTAAGTTTTATGTTCAAATATCTGTTTTAGAATATTAGGTGAAAAATCAATAAAATTGCAAGTACAAAATTTTGCATTTTTGCATAAAACATGTTAAATCAATGGGTTTGACGAGAAAAAAACTCTGTAAGTATAAGACCAACTAGGGAAAAGTTTTAGCTTGATACAGGTTATCCATTATATATGGAAAATGCATTATCTTGTATCGTTTCTTTTGTAGACTAGCATGTAATGTAGTCATTACTTGTCACGCAATATATAGTCGACCACACCCCATCCCCATATATACAAAGGACAGTGAGAGTCAAAAGGGCATAATGTCACTGCAATCATGTAATATTTATAAAAAAAATATTGAATACATCATTGGCTCAATATGGATTCAAAATTACGGTAAGCTAAAAACCAATTTGAACGGAGTCTCTTTCATTTCAAACAACGGACCCTATTGTGACTTTTCATTTGTGCCACTGATACGCCACGTCTATCGCAGTGTCAAAGGAGTTAAAACTGAGTATTTGCAGCCAGAAAAAAAAACTTTTCAAAGCAAAGTTTTGATATAAAAACACAAACGACAAGAAGCTTATTTGACCGGAGAAAAACAATATGTTTCCATTATGTTTCAATCTTATATTATCGAAATAACATGTATGCACACGCCATGTAACTTCTAAATACGATAAACTTCTGAACCTTGCACATATAAATGTTAAAGATTCTGGCAAATCTCTTTCCTAAATGTAAAATGGCAATTAAATTATATTACCTGACTTGTTAAAGTCTCTTAATTCTGATTAAATATGTGGTGTGGTAGGTATTGAATTATCTACGTGCAAAGGAAATTGAAATTAACGGTCAATAAGTGTTCAAAGTCGACCAATGTGAAAAATTGTGAATTGTGTTGGTTTTTTTTTCGTTAAAAAGGAGAGTATTGATAAAATAATCGCCTAAAGATCGTGCGAAATGAAAATTTCCAATATCGCAGAAAACTATGTACTGAGTACTGATCAAAGTTTTTTCACGAAAGTTTCTGTGCAGTAAGCATCCCAATAAAGAAGAATACCACTCTAACTGAATTACTGTCATGAAAAAAAAATTTTATAACTGGAAATTTGGTGGAGAGGGTTATAGTTTGTAATCACCTCGGAAGGAGGGAAGATAATAAATTAAATTAAAAATGAATAACTGTACTTACCGGTATAATGTATCTCCATTTGTATCAAGCTTTGATGAAATAATTGAAAAAGTGTATATTCCAAACTATAATACGTTCAATAAATTAAAAAATATTCCGAATAACGCTACTAAAAAAACAACAAATATAAGTATATTCCAATTCACAGTATATATTTCAAAGTATGTGATTATGTTTGCTTTCAATAAATTAAAACAACAAACAATTAATTCAATGAAATTTTATCTCTAAGGTTACGTCAAAGTCCAACTCAAGCAAAGAAAAATATAAGAAAATATCAAAATCTCGTGTAATGCACGTGCATGAAACCGAATCTGCAGCCGTACGATTCGTCGCAGCTTTGCAGATTAGCGTATAAAGGATGAGGATTTGCGCATCAATAAGTAATTGATGCCCCGCCTCCTTTGATTATAATCTGTAATTACAAAGATATACATAATATTTAATTAGCTAGTGAGTTATCTATAAGATACTAACTTTTGGTTCCATGGACTGTTAATTAAGTAAGAAAATGTTGTATTAATCATATTTGATAACTTGTTTTATTCAGCCAGATATTGAATGAATGATTCAAAAAAGTAAAGTAATTTTTTTGTAATTCTTAGAAAAGGCATGACATTGGCAGTTTTTGCGAAAATAGATAATCTATCATAAAATACTGTTGAAATTGAATGTTAAAGACTTGCTTTACATAAAAATAAGTTGCAGGATGCATATGAACTGTTATCTTTCCCTACTAGCCTTTTCATTTTGGCCCTTTGCTAATTGATGGGTTTTCTTTGTTTTGTATTTTAAATCCTAGACTCAATTTTTTTTCAGACTTTGTTAACGCCAGCAGTTTCAGGACGTCAAAACCAGAGAATAAGTCTTTTTTGTTTTATAAGTTCGGAGTTCTCGGGTTGTGGGCATTTGAGACGACCACAACCTGGAAGACCAAAATGATTGTCATGTTCAAAATAACAGTGTACATATGTTGTTTTTGATTAACAATACTAAAACTAAATACTTTCTGTGAACTGTATATAACAACTTTAAGATACATGTATGTACCATTCAGTTTATGGCGATAAGATAACTTAAACATAATAACTTACATGAATGTGGTACTTCAAACATATTTTTTCAAGTACTGTACAATGCTTTAAGGGAGACGGATTTATACAAGTTTTTCTTGTTTCCGAATCCCTGCATTTCTATTGTATAATTGTAATAAGTGCACTTTTGAAAAACAAAATATTGTTTAAACTTATCCTTATGTTGTCCTTAGTATGACCGTATTTGTCTCTGGTATCCCCATGAGTGTGTTAGTTTCAATGAAAACCATATATAGAGATGTGGTACGATTGCCAATGAGACAACTATCCACAAAAGTTCAAATGAAGTGGATGTAAGCAATTAAAGGCAACCGTACGGCCTTCAACAATGAGAAACCTATACCGTATAGTATAAGTGTTTGTATGTCTGAAATCAGGAATAATACATAATAGCGAAACACAGTTTGCCTAGCTTCCCGATATCAAAAACAACAAAAAAAAACAAGTTTACTACTCAACAACCTGTGCATTTTCTTAATAAAAAGGTTAAATTCCTAATCGAGTACTGATTGAAACTCTCAGACCTACTGCTGTTCAACACAGTAATCATCGTAAAATGTTACTTTATGTTAATCATGATATTTTAGTGATAATAGATGTTTATGTCAAATAAGATGTATATTTTTTATAAGTTAATATCATTTCCACGCCCCCTCGCACCGGGCATAATATGAAACAGAAGTTTTGGGTAAATTTTGGCTGGAAAACAGTATGATTATATCAATGTAAATGTTTATTGTTGTAAAATAAAATAGTTTGTCAATATTTGACTGCTTCTGACGCCACATTTGACAATTACATAATTTTGTTGTAATATCATACTTGCACCACGCTGATTTGATTTTTTAGAGTATAGCTTACCTGTTCTCATGGGTAGTAATTTCTGAAATTCATATCATAAAAGTTGTATCAAACAAATACAATTTTCATTTGCGCTAAAATATATACATCGTATACTAAGGAACTAAAATATATTAGTGTTAAATCCCTTCACATAATACCGATATAGACCAAGCATATTTACAAACCATGGATTACGGTAGGGTAGGCTAACATTGTCCTTATTATTTTTGCGTGACATGAGCAAGGTTTTTGGCTCGTGCAGTCACTCAATATTAAAAATCTACGTTAATCAATGAGATAGTTTTCTACTATCAATGCCAACATAAGTGTATTACTGTAAAAGAAATATGCAACCTTGTTTGTTACTGAGGGAAATATCACAATGTCCCATGCTCCCAAAAACAACCTTCTTTATTATGGACAAACAATGTTATGAATTATATCCCATAATGAATTTCACATGGTCACGATGAATTCAAAGGATTAACAGTTTTATACTGAGATTAGGTTAACCCAAGGAGGTTTGTATAAGACCTCCTTGGTTAACATGATTCTCAACTCGGCAGGACATCTTTGATAAGACTAATTTATAACTTTCACACTTATTCATTAAAATGTTATATGTTTATCCATGATTCCATATGAGATAACATAGGCCAAAGAGGAATATTTTTGTATAGTCATATAGAAATCCAGCTGAGATCACAGCTTTATCTTTTAGCACTTGTGATTTTCATAACAATGACTTATATATAAAAGTAATGCTGTAAATATTCTTCTTCAATAGACTGCAAGTGTTGATTTTGTTGTCATACTGTTTACTCTGTGGGTTCGTGGCCTACTCTGAGGGCCTACTGGTGGTTAAGACCATTGAAGTATATAGTAACAGGTCCTCTTACGAAAAAATAGCACATGCCCATCCTCACTGATGTATTAAGAAGATAAAGTTTCGACTCCACTTCATTTGAACTCTGGTGTCTAGCTGTCTGATTGTCAAGTATATCTCATCTCCATATTTTTATATAAGTTTGTCAAGTACTTGATAACCCCTTTTTGAGGATATGTAATGCCGCTTTAGTTTATTCAGTAAACTGAAGCTACTCTTGTCACATGATTTGTTATCGCCAACCTATCTTAATAAATACGGAAAAAACCCGTGGTCATTTGTGGATCGCCATATGAATGACAACACCTGTTTCTTTTCAAATGACAGCGAAAACTATGGCAAAATAGAAATGTTCATGACTTGCGAGTGTTATTACTCTTAACATTTTTGAAGAAAGGAGTCGCAGAGTTTTTCTGGTCTTTTTTTTTAAATTTGTTTAAACGCATCAGAACCTGTAGAAACTGGCATTTGTCGTTATAGTTGCATGTAATTTCCTTTATATTTATGTACACATCCGGTTATTTTGATATACACCGTAATTACGAGGTTCCTAAAGACTTTGTTTGAACCATGGAAGTATTATATTGTCAATATATATAAAGGTTATTTTCAGTATAAGGACATGGATAGTAAACTGCACGTTGCTAGTAAACATACAAATCTTAGTGCAAACGACGATAATTTAATACAAATAGACAGATATACCAAATAAAAACAAACAAAAATTTCGTGAAAGTCGGTACAATGATTAAAAAATATATGAATCGCTAACCGAGTCTCCGTGTATATTTCAACATAAATTCCTGCAGGTGCTCCAGCCCTTTCGATTTCCTTATCATATAGACAAGACAAAATAGACCATAAAGTGGACGTAAAAAGTTCGGGAAATTTTCTGGATAAGCAAAAAAAAATTCGAAGAGAGGAGCACCCGATTTTTGTGAGACATTTAATTTCACCTTTTCTGTTTGACTAGCCTTATATGTTTTGTCGTCTTTTTAAATTTTTTGTGTACTTTCGACGCCATCCCTTAAAACGATTGTGAATTTCGATTTTTAAACTCTAAAGGGTAACTTTCTTCCAATTTTGTTAGGACGACCATTAGAACCCTTCCCTTCTGGTTAAGGGAATAAGCAAAATACATAAGAAAGGGAACGGGGTCAATTGGAATTCGTGCATTTTTATGTAGTTGAGGATATTTTTCTTCAGTCAGACTCACTGTTTTTTTAGATTTTATCATCTGTGTGTACAGAATATGGTTTTGGTTCTGTATCTTAAATTAGCGTATTGTTTAATTTCCCGACAACCTTATTCTATCAGCTGTGTTTCTACGATGATCTACAGTTATTAAAACAAGACAACATAATACCAATGCAAATTATTGATTTGCGGTCAATAATCAACACCACATGGCCAAAATATACGTAAAACATACCAAGCACGAATCAGTGATATAAGACAATAACTCATCCAGTCAAACAAGTCAAAACCAATTTTCGACAATTAGCTTTCAAACCTCTAAATCAAGTCGTGTTTGTTTTCTTTGGCTCTCATTCCATTGTTCGTGAATATTTTGGTGATAATTTACCATGTATATTCGACAACTCATCATTTTGATTCTTAAATATTGATCCGTTCTTGATACATACATGTACCTACTGAAAATACCCACTGTATATCTGCTTCATGTATTCAGACATGCAAAAATATAGTCGGACATGAATGTATATATGTGCATATTATTTGAGACCATGACATATAAAATCGAGAAACGGTATACTGTTTTCAGCTTTCTTGCTGATTCTTATCCATTATAGCATCATACACGTATTCCCACGAGAATTTTGGTCTTTATTTAATTTGTATATATCTATTATGGCAACACCTTGTCATAACTGACGAGAAGGCAATTATCGGTAATTTTTACATTTATGATATGATCATCTTTGAATGATGCCTCCGTTATTACAGGCTCATTATATGGTAACAGTAGCCGATCAAATGTGTCTTCTGTCCAAAAGTAACAATATATGTTGTATGCTTTATTATAAACAGCCCAGGAAGTTATAGGCGTGCAGTCGGTGTGGTAAAAAAACGCTACCCCCCCTCCCCCCCCAAAAAAAAAAATTTAAAAAAAATTAAAAAAAAAATTAAATGAAGAATCGGTAACAAATGATTTGGATTGAACAGACACTATTTTATTAGAATATAATATAAAAATAAGGAGATGTGGTAATGTGCCAATGAGACTATCAACCAAAGTTCAAATGAAGTGAATGTTAGCAATTATAGGCGACCGTACGGCCTTCAACAATGAGAAAACTCATACCGTATAGTCGGCTATAAAAGGCCCCGACATGAATAATATGAAACAATTCAACTGTTCAAACAATTTTCTGGAGGCAGGTTTTTGAAAAATCGCGATATAAAGTGAAAAAGGTGCATTTTTTACGCTTAAAATTTACTTACTTTCTAGTTTTTATATTTTAATACAACAAAATAAATTGATACAACATATTGCCACACGTATAAAAACCAGAGACATATACTAAAATTATATGTCTCTGTTATAAGTAACTTATTGTTGTGCATTCTCGCTAGAGGAACAAAGTAAAGCTGGATCCAGAACAGGTGTTTACACTCATTAAGCCACAGATAATACTCATATTATCCTTTCCCTCTTCAATAAAACTGTTTTCGCACTTTTAAAATCAAATCTATGTCAAAATCAATAGATGATGATGAAGATTTTAACACCTTTCTCATGGACTTGTTTACATGTTAAGTATATTTTAATGTTTTTATTATGATGAGAGATATTTCCCAGAGGCTAGTTCTTATCGGTGCATGTCCGATTTTCATGCGAAACTATCTATTGCAGTTCAAAGATAGAAAACTTCACTAAAATTGCATTTTGTTTTGTTATTTATTCGACACATCTTTCTTTGAACATTTAATAATTTCTGAATAAAGACTTAAAGATTTACTAGTAACAGAATGACAATCAGTCCATTCATGCATTTGCTCTCCTGGTATTAAAAGTGAATTTCTCGTATAATATGTAACCCGAATAATTCAGGCCCGTGATCGATTTATCCCTCTCGCATAATGTAATGTAGTCATCGTAGAGGAGCACACAGGCACTTGTCTCTGAAAAAAATACCTATATTATATACTTTAATAATTTAAAGTATATAAGTAATTTTTTCAGATTTGTTCAGAGACAAGTGCCTGTGGTAGAGCAGCGGAACATAACAACTGAATTGTTCGGGTTATTCAATATGAAGAATAAAGTGTACATATGTATGCCATTTTTCTTCGAACCATGGAAGTATTATATTGACATAATACCTCCATGATCGGACATATCATTAAGTAATCTCCTTGCTGCGTGCTTCGCCGCCAAGTGTTTGATGACTGTAAAATGGACATTGAATTTCGCTGTAGTTTCTTCGCTAAACAGCACCGTGTGTTTGATGACTTTATAGATGACATTTTCAGTTCAGAATATGGTTTCCATCACAGCTTACTTTCCAATCAAAAACGTTTTGACACTGAAAAATTGCAAGCCGTCACATTTTATCAAGCATATTATAAGAGATGATATAACTATCTTGATCTAATCAATTATTGTTATGAATTCACTGCAGTTTTCAGGGGCGGATCCAGCCATTTTTAAGAGGGGGGGGGGGGGGAGTTCAAACTATATGTCCCCATTCAAATGCATTGATCGTAAAAAAAAAGGGGATTCCAACCACCCCCCCCCCCGCCATTGGTCATTTTTTCGATAGAATGATAACTTGATTTTAATTTTGGAAAGACCAAATTTCAAATACTAGTAGTTCTCTGTGCTGAAGGTAAATCGTTTTAACCCGCAGTTAAAGGTGCCTTCAGAGACATTTTATTTTATTTTCAAATAGTATACCAATAATACCATGCATTTTGAATTTACTGAGTGACTTTATATCCATAATTATTTTTATGTAAGAACATTTTCAAGCTCGGAAGACCATGAAGATAAGTTCATTATTATGTATAACATGGGTAGGGGGTAAAACCATCTGTCCCAGTGGCGGGTCAGACTGTAAAAATTAATTATTACAAAATTGTCCTAATTAAAAACAGAAAAGCCCATTCAAATGAAAAACTCGGTTCTTTTGTGGAGTCTTCGAGGCACGAGAAGGGAGATGTTTTGTTCTGCTTCTCATCAAACGGGGATTAATTGCTTTAAGCCATGCGTGTAACAAATTGTGACCAGAAAGCGTGTGCACCAAGTCAACTGAGAAACCATAAGTTATATGGGTGTCTGATTTAGTTTAAGATGAGAACTAGAAAAATATTTATTTGAATGAAACCTATATAAAACACATGTTTTTCATATTTTCGTCATAAACATTAAACATGTGAAGTGTTTTAAAATGAGAGAACAATTATATCAGAAGTCTTGTGAATCATTCTGTTATAACAATATCTGTAAAAACAAACGTAATTTAAGGACAATTTTCAGT